CTCAAATTGTCGACCCTGACGACGTCGCGACGTTGGTGACGTTGGCAATGTCGACAATATGGCAGATTGCAGTCTCTAGCCTCTCAGACCAAGTGCAGGAGCTGACGGACCTGCGGCTAGCCGCCATAGGAAAGGGATGTTGGTGCCCTGAGTATCCTTTCCTTGAGGGCGGCAGTACGCTCGGTTATCCTCTCGGCTCTGGGGGTGTTGCGAGGCGCCAGCTCCTCGTTCAGGCAAGAAGTGCCCGTTTCAGCATCACGATGCACGTTGCCCCGCCTCCCCGCGCTCGTTTATTAGCCGGAGGATGAAAGTCCTGCTTGACGTCGGGTAAGTAAGTTCAACCACCCCGTATGCGTAAGACACAGCAGATACTACGTTTAAAACACTCGTGTACGCCAACACCCCCTTTCGTTGACTGTCGTGCAGGTGACATGCTCGGATTGGACCATGATACCGGCGGAGAACCTTGTTTCCGCCGCGGGAGGCACCCCTACTCGCATCGCTGTGGAGGTGGGCAGGGCGTTGGTTCAGTTTCGTCTTTTTGTCGTACTTGCCGCTCTCTCCGCTTCGTTGTTTTTTTGTGCCCACGACGACGTGCCGCCAAAATGCAATGGCAAGGATAGGCACGCCGTAATATTAATCGAGACGTGCGTCATCAATACGATATAGGCTCTGCACTTGAACAAGAATCCGTTGTTCGCTTTCTCCGCTGTTTTGACTTGGACTACAGAACGGACCCGCGCTTACGAAATGCCAATGTTGACTCAAGGCCAACATGTATTTTTTCTTTGCCACCGTCGACCACAGGATATTATTTAGCGTTTCCTGTAGGACCCACGGGTGAGCTATCTTTCTTAACAATATTTCCTTGCTTTTCGTGATACTTGGAGCATATTCTTCTAGAACGAAGTATTTCTTAGTTACGGATCCGTTCCGTATCACCCACGCCCGCAGCACCTATCCGGTCGGTTCCAGGCCCAACGATGCCAACGGCCCCTCCCTCTGTCCACTTTGGTATCGTATATGCATACCACTGCATTGATTTCCCGGCGCCCCCCACACAAACCGCGAATGTATTCCGCGTTTCACTCCGTATATCTCGTGCACCATTTCTCCCCCTGTTCTGTTTTTTTTTTTCCCGCTCCCCTTTTTCGCGCGACAGCTGTCTGAGCCGTCCCAAGTCCAAGGCGCGGCGTTCGCCCTCCAGATCGGCGTGGACGCCCTACTGCTAGGGCCGGACCCGGACCTCTGGGAAGCTGCCGTGAGTGCCCGAGAGCAGCGTGGCACCGACGGCCCTGCGACAGGCGTGCTTCCCGCGCCCGCAGATCACGGCGAAGGCGGAGCTGGGGGGGGGTTAGATGTAGTGGCGCTGTCTACGGGCAGGGTGACGAGGACGCGGGAGGGGGGGGTCGGGGACCGCGTGTGCGTGGACCTGATCCAGAGCCTGAACGCCGGCGAGGGAATGCTCGTCGGTTCGAGCGCTAAGATGCTTGCCCTGGTGCACGCCGAAACTTTCGAGACCGGCTTCGTGCCCGCCAGGCAAGGAGAGGTCGTTTTTGTTTTTTTTTGCAGCACCAGAAGGGTTTGTCGCCAGAAGGCGTTGGTGGTTTCTGAAGGGTGGGAGGGGGCGGGGGGGCACTTGGCTTTGTTGGCTGTGGTGTTGGTGTTGGTGTTGATGTTGTCGTTGGTGTTTTTTTGTTTACATTGAAGGCCCGTGTACCCTCTGCCCAGTAACGCATGCATTCCAATCGGTAATTGACCGATTCCGGCCGTGACGGACTTATTCTACAAGGTTTCGGCCTTGCCGGCTCGAGACCGAGCTTAACCTAGCTCCGAGCGGGTTGCATCGGCACACTGACAGACGCCACTACGTACGTTGTGCAATGGCTGTTGGTGCGCTTGTCTGTATCAAGCAGGCCATTTCGGATCAACGCCGGACCCGTCCACTCTTACGCACTGCTTGGGGACGGGAGCACCAAGTATCTCTCCGAGCTCTGTGCCGGCGACCAGGCAAGAAAAAGGAAAAGAAAAGGAACAAGAAAAAGAGCAAGAAAAAGAACAAGAATAAGAAAAAGAACAAGAAATAAAACGGCGTTTTTGATTGGGCTTTTCCCACGACGGTGTGTAGGACTTCCCCCCAAAAGTCCAAAGCGAAAGAGCAGACACGAGCGGGCTTGTGAGCTTGAGCTAGATAGCTCCTTTTTGGCGTGTCGTTTCAGCAAACTAAAGAGAGAGAGAGGTCTTTCAACAAGAGGCCCTACCTCAACACAAGATGGCATCAGTGGGCTGGTGCTCGCAAAATTTGTCGAAGCTCTTTTTATCTTCTGAAAGAGGCTAGCGTAGGAGACAAGAAAAGGTAAACTCTAAAAGCATGAAGCGTGGACCGGAGTTCGGTGACTTGTTGCTGTCTATGTCCTAAACACATACCAGGTACTGATTTTTCTTTTTGCCAGGTGCTGGTGACCAACTGGAAGGGGGAGTCGAGAAAGGTGGCGATAGGACGCCTCAAGGTGGAGACGCGTCCGATGATCATGGTCGAGTTCCAAGGTGAAGCATTTGGCGTATTGTACAAGCGCGCGGCTCTCTCGCTGTTGCCTTCACATTCAATAGCCGCACGAGGAGAAACTGCCGCACAACCACAAAACAAGCAGCAGCGACGTGTACGGTACATGATACACGATGAGCTGGTGTTTTTGTGTGGTGACGTTTGGATGTGTATCGTCAAATCCATTCTGAACACCAGCGTTTTCCCCTCGGTTTGTTTTTGGGGCGCGTCAACCGTTCCACAGGAAGAACGCCACCCACACAAGAGTTTTTTTGTTGTTCCCTCCACCTCTCTCTCTCTTTCTCCCTGTGGTGCTTGCATCTACGGCTACAGACTACAGAACGGACCCGGAGATAAGAAACGTCAATATCGGGTGGAGGCTCAGTTTCTTATTTGGTCACCACTTACTGTCGAGCACAGGTTGTTATTCAAGTACAGAGTTCAGTCTTGGATCCACCGCTGAGCTGTGTTTCTTAGCCGCAACTTAATTTTCGTGCCAATTTGAGCCTCTGTTTCTTCACGAAAATTTTATTCACTGCGGGCCCGCATGCATGAAAAATAGTCACCCCTTTAGCAGGATGCAGCGCACCCTCCACGCGACTCGCCGAATACCTCGCGCTGGTCCGGAGAGAACCCGGCGTGCTCCGTCCCGGCTTTGTAGGGATGCGAGGTCAATCGTCCATCGACTACGGCATGCACGTCTATGAGTATGAGTACAACCCCCCCCCCCCCCCCCGCCCCCTCTCCACCTCTCGCTGTGGATACGATCCCCAAACCCAATGACTTGCAGGCGAGGGCGGGAGCACGGGCCAGCTATTCCTTCAGCAGGCAGAGACTGTGCGGCTCATCAGCCCGACCCAACCTGAAACCACCGCCGAGAAGAATAGCAACGAATCCGAGTCAGAAGCAGACAGCAGTGGATCGGGGGGAGGCTGGGTGCCACTTTCGGTAACCGACATCGAAGGGGGCGAGGACCTGCTGTTGCGGGAGATTAGCCGAGGGACGCACGTGGGGAGGGCTATAGATGCTGTGGTCACGGAGACATGAGCGAGCGATTAGAAAAGCATTGGCGCTGTTTGTACCGTTTTTTGTTTGTTTTCTTGGCTTCTTGTTGCTTGCAGTGGTGTATTCGTACGAGCATGTGCTATTCGTACAAGTATTGGAGTCAAGACCGCAAGTGTAGTTAATGAGAGCTCGAGCGGCACAGGTAGGTGCCGGGAGACATTCGTTTTTCATCAAGCGCTTCATCTCATTCGAATGTGTGCGGGTCATGCGCGCAAGAATATTTTTGGAGTAAAATATCTGAACTCTACTTGTAGGGCGTACGTGTACACAGGACGAGAGACAGCTGAGAGCTGAAATATGACGTCCAAAAGCAACAGTTACTTGCAGAGAGGGATCCGAAGATCGCTTGGCACTACGGTACCCACCCGCACAATATTCTCACTCCCTCTTGGAGGAGACTCTTTCACTCCCTCTCGGAGGATCCTGCGCTCTTGAATCAACTCGTCATAGCACTCGAAAAATAATCATTACACTGCTGTCAGCGGGGTCGAATCCCTATACCCTGGATCGCTGATGGATAATGTTACATTTTACAATACACGACACAACGGAGGGATTCTCCCCGATATTTTGTCGTTGACCCAGTAGAGAACTACAGGGGATGTATTGTAAAATGTTAAGTTACCTGTACAGATGTTTTTGTACTTAGCACCAGCTAGCATCACTGGTATAAATAATCAGTGTATAGACTTTAAAAGACTCGAAATAAGTCCAGTACCCAGCCGGTTTCCCTCCACTCACTGAAAAGACTCCACCACATCCCGTTCGACTGTGGGTATATCTCGAATGGGTAGTCTTTCTGTGTGTGTTTTTATTATTCCTTCATAATGCGCTCAAACTCTCGAACACACCACAAGCAAGCTTGGTTCACGATAATGAACCCAATTTTATCCAGCCACAGTCGTCGCCCACAGACGAAAATCGAACGCAAAATCCCAACCCGAACAGGTTTTTTCTTGTGGCCAGACATCCAAGGTCACAACTATGAAGGAGGCACTTACTTCAGGATACGCACGTCTACATACACACTCGAATAACGGACGTGAGAGGTCATGTTGAGGATGCATGTACGCTATTGTATTGTACGTATCATTGTATCCTTTCCGTGAACCATCTTGTAGCGTAGCGAGACCGGTATCCAACCATTCGGCGGCAACGGAAATCATACGACAGGAGACATACATGGCAACCGACGGCGTATTGTAGTGTATGATATAAACCGGCCAGCGTGACCGGACTAATTGTTTGATCCGGTTGCCGCTAAATTGTACGGTATCTTCTTGTCAATGGTGTCGTGGAATACATATAACAGTCTAATTACACACCGGGTACGACGGAGGAGCGGGTATAGCTACTGTAGTACAGAGCAGGAGCGTTGCGACCACGCTTATGTTCCCCGCGTTCGATGGTGATCTATTTCCTCCGATGGTTGCTGGTTCCTCCGAGACGAGACCCATGGCTACAGCACTTCGTGCTTTCGTGGATATGGCACCCCTTTTCGCCGTTCCGCCAGCAGCTGCTTGCTGGCCCAGGGTTATTTATTCTCCATTTCGTCCGATGGATCGTTAATCTTCCCGACAACGAACATCATGCACCCATGGTGTTCGTGGGGTCCAATCGAGTCCCTGCCTAGGCTGTCGAGGGAGGAAAACATGCCTACACGACGATATGCATGTAGAGGGTCTGCGCACACGAAGAGCAGAGGTCGTTTAGTCTTGTCTCGGGTCTCGGGTCTAGACAGTCACGGTTGTCCCGTCCGGCCCGTTCTCGATTGCGGTTGGAGCGCTGCGACCCACCTACAGAAAGTTCTCTTGGAACATCAAGACTTTGCTATACCTGTACTAAACCCTATACAATAAAATTCCAGAAACAAATTCTCAGAATAAGATATGCAAGCCAACCACCATCCAGACATCCAGAACCGGCTTTAAGACTTTCAGAACGAGCCCCACAGCCCACACACTCTACTGCTGTACCACCACTACTATCACTGACCCGTCTATACCCAACTCCACCTCTACAACTACTAACCTCCCTCTAGAGAGAGAGAGAGAGAGTTAGTCACTGCGACCAGAGAGAGAGATGTGCAATACTGCGGTGCTGGCCAAGATGCGGCAAGTCAACAACAACAAGCCGTCTTGCTTCAGGCGACAGCGCAGCGCCGCTGTGCCTCACCATCAGGAACACCGGAGAACCAAGCGCGAGCGAGAGGCCCAGCGCACGGCTGGGCGGCCTGCCAAGAGGGTCAGCTTCTCCGCCAACGAGTGCGTGCTCGGCAGGGCGCAAGACTACGACAGGACGAGCTGCGAGGTCCAGACGCCGCTGGTGAGACGTCGAATTATTCCTAAGCGACCTGCCCCCGTCGTCATCATTCCTAGCGATGAAGAAGCGAAGCAGCAGCAGGACCAGGAGCCACATGAACAACAACATGCGAACTTCTGCGGCATGTGGAGGCGGAGCCACGGCTTCCACTGGGAGTCGCTCCTGGAGTTCTCTGGCGTGGACAAGGCTGATGTCGCTGAACAGGTAAGGCCCTGCGGGCTATCGCTCTCGCCGCGATCATGCGTGTCATGTGATGATGGACCGTTCAAACAATACCTGGTACTGCTGTACTTTCTTTGTTGGTGTATTTTCTCAGAATGTGTTGGGTGATGCCACAATCTCTGACTCTTTGGGTGTGGTATATGCTAGTGCTGTAGGTGCTCGTGGCTCGCCATCCACCAGCAGGCACTGCTGCCCCATTGGTATGCCCCTACCCGACGAGTTTCAACCCTGCTGTGATGTCAGAAACTACTGCGGGTATGGATACGTCCAGGACTTTGTGTGTTACACGTGGGCTGTGGAAAGGCGGGTTTCCGGGCCTTGTGCTATTTCCCGTTTCTCCGTCTTCTTATTTCGAAAATCCCGCGATACCGCCTGCTGTTGCCTTGCTGGGGATGCTTGTTGAAGGTATCACGCGCGTGCGAGAGGTCCCAGCAAGTCGGGGTTGCGTGTTACCCTGCCATGCTGCTGTCAATGTCAATGCCCTCCTCTTCTGGCTGAATATATATATCCGGTGATCAGTTGCTCGTGAAACGAAAATCCAATCCAATCACCAATCCAAAGAACGTTGATTGAGAAACTTTGGAAAAACTGTTCCTATGTTATCGAGAACGATCAATGATATATGTGCATACTGCTTTTGTACGATAGAGGGCATGTTCACTCTCTGCTGTGTGAAGTAACGCAAGTAATAGGATGTTCTCGAGTGTATTGTACATTCGATGGAGGCATACAAGCCACATATATAATCACACATTTTTTTTGCTGAAAGGACGACAGTTTACCTGGAACCTGAGAGCCGTTTTCACGTCAGCCGCAGCGCGTGGTAGTTCAGCAGGTACCCCATCTACACGTGTACGTATGTACGCGATGAAAGATCCGGTAGATTAATGTGAGCTGGACATGACACCGCTCGTGCTGCCTCGTGACGCCACCACGCCTCTGGGTCTCAACACGAGCCACGTGGTTGTTTCGTAAAGGCTCAGGACCAGAGCACAGCAGGACATCAGCAATGCTGTGAATGAATACGCTCGACATGACCAACGACGAACCCAAGATTTTTTTTTCTTCAAAAGTGGAAAGGTAAATGTCTATTATTCAGAAAGAGGCGATACTTTTGTGTATTTACCACCAATCCCGCTGCTCCTCCCGCCTCCCGCCGATACCTCCCACCCAGGCGGCAAGGATGCAATCGTCCTCGGTAGTCCACCTCATCGACCACGACGCGAACAGCTTCCGATTGGTCGTCCATAGCGACTCCGGCAACACCCAAGACCAGCACTTCTTCATCGGGGGCCAGCCCAGGCCGAGTCCAACCAACGCCCCCTCCACGGCCACGCTCTCCAACATGCGGTGGACCAAGAACGGGCAGGGGTTGGTGCTGACCAGCGTGGACGCGGCAACGGGGGACGAGATGACCGTGTCTCGGCATCTCGCGGCCCAGGGCTCGGTTATCGTGCAGCACTACGCGGCGCGGCGAGCGAAGACCGGCGAGACTGCCGAAGCGGTGACAATCTTCCGGAGGATGGTTCGGGCCACCAGCAGCAGCACCAGCGAGCCGCCAATAAGCCCGCCCTAGGATAAAGGGAGGTCACCGTGGTTGATATGTAGAGTTAGTATCATAGCCGTACCTCGAGATTGTGTGCCTACCCCCCCCGCCATGCGTCTGTTTCCATCTGTATGCATATGTATCCTTGGACACTATGGCGATGGATAGCTTGGGATAGCTTGAACGGGAGGGTGGCGGGCCTAAAAAAAATGCGTCGAGTGTCTTGGAGGATTATCGGCACGAGTGGAAGTGGAAGCAGCTTTATTCATATGTAGTGCCCTTTAAGGAGTGATGTGCGACGTATGTACCTAGGCTGTCATTTCTAGATCTTATTTTGAGAGCGCGAAGTCAACAAGGGGGGGGGAGTAGGAACCATATTCCCTCGTTGTCGTGGTGTATTTGTGAGCAAACGTGTTGCTTGTTTTCGGAACGAGGCATAGCGAAGACTCGTCACGCCGGTCAAGGACCAAGCAAGAAAAAGAGGCGTGGGCCTGTTTTCCACTAATAACATTGTCGATTGTAGACCTCAAGCGCGTCCGCATGTTGAAGGCTTGGCAGGAGCATCTGCTTGGGGCAAAAGCGGGCATCGTGCCTTTTTTCGAGTTACGTTCGGTTGGTTTGGTACACACAACACCCCCTGCTGTTTTCGTTTTCCTGTTTGGTCCTAATTAAGCACCGGCCCAAGCGGGGAAACGCGGCGGCACTGCTGTGCTAACTTGTGCTGTTGTTGCGCACACGAAGAAGAGGCTTTTGTCGGAAGTTGTTGCATTGCTGTGCGGTTGGGGCGAGCGGTTAGTTGGCGTCGCAGGGTTCCCTCCCTTGGGAAGGATGCATATCGCGGCTGACTGGCTCTTTTTGATGTCTGTTCCATCGATGTCGAGGGAGAGAGAAAATGAGTAGATTAGTGTGTTTCGTAAAAAGAAAAAACGGTAGTTGAGATTTTGAACGCGCTGCCGCATGTGGGTGTTGGGAAGTCGACAAGTCGCTTGAGTGGACGTTTCACGTGCATGTGTGTCTGGTTTTGTACATGCTGCGAAGAGTTGGGTATGTGTTGCTTGGCCTCCTCAAGGCTGGTGCATGCAAGAAGACCACGACCGCGATAGTTCAGGATTAATTTAACAGAATCAAATTGTTGCACCTTGTTCCTTCTGATGTTCCTGGGGTCGATATCGTGTGTGTGTGTGTGTACATGTGTACATACCTCAGCACGTGTTTCCGTCGATTCCTGTTTTGGCAAAACACTGAGTGACGCCATGTTCTTGGAAATGAACTTTGT